AAACTCCTGATACATGTTACGACATGGAGGAGTCTCAAAATCCTTACATTATGTGAAGGAAATGAGATGCTAACCACTCCCCATTATATGATGAACTTAAATAAAATTTATAAAGAGGCAAATCTACACAGATAGAAACTAGGTTAGTGTCTGTCTGGGCTGAGGGTGAGAATAGAGATGAACTGTAAAAAGGCATGGGGATCTTAGCTAGGGTGATGGAAATGTTCTAAAGCTGGACTGTGCTAACAGGTGCACGACTCAAGTTCATGAATAACTGAAATATATGCTTAAAAATGTGTGGTTTTGGGGGGCACGTGGGTCATTCAGTCAATTAAGTGTGTGACTTGTAGTTTCAGCCCAGGTCCTGATCTCATGGGTCATGAATGAGACAGGCTCCTCGCTCAGTGGGGAGTCTGCTTGAAGATTCTCTCCCTTTGTCCCTCTCCCCAACTCACACATGTATGCTCTCTCTCTCTCTAAAATAAAGAAATCTTTTTAAAAATGTGTGATTTTTTTGCATGCAAATTACAGCTCAACAAACCTTTTTTAAATGATCATTGTTTTACAAATAAGCTCTAATGTACATTTTTGTTCATTCTAGTTATTAGGAGAGCATGAACCTCTTCTGTTTAGAAGTAACTGGACAGGGGCGCCTGGGTGGCTCAGTGGGTTAAGCCTCTGCTTTCGGCTCAGGTCATGATCTCAGGGTCCTGGGATCGAGTTCCACATCGGGCTCTCTGCTCAGCAGGGAGCCTGCTTCCCTCTCTCTGTCTCTCTGCCTGCCTCTCTGTCTACTTGTGATCTCTCTCTGTCAAATAAATAAATAAAATATTAAAAAAAGAAGTAAATGGACAAAAATTAACTTACAATTTTTCCTCCTGTACTTTATTTGATCTGAGAACAACAATATAATTGCCTTAATTAATTAACATGAAAGTCAGGGTCCCTATTAGACTTTTGTCTTCATTTGTGCATCTTCACTTGATCACAAAGTCCTCTGGATTTCTCAGTTTGATGTTCTGTTGGTTTCCTTCTCTCAACTATTTCTGTTACTGGCTTCATTCAGGTCCCTATTTTTTCATACTTTTATTATTTTTTAAATGTCCTCATTTGGTAGTTTCTAGGTTTTTGAATTTCACGGAGTAGAAAAACAAATTTAAAAAAAAGAAATGGGAATAAAACTGCCAACTATAATTTTGCCAAATAAGGCCAGTAATATGAAAATGTACCTTAACAACTACCATCTACTTCCACTGTATAAAACTTAAGTTGCACTGATTAATTTGATTTAAAAAACCTCTTCCATAAGATGCAGATGTCAATTATTTCAAAATATACCCAAAGTATGCAGAATACAAATATGGAAAAATGATTGTATTAGTGTACTCCAGAGGAAAAAAAATTAATAGGATATACACATGCATATATAAGAAGGGATTTATTATGGGAATTGGTTCATGTGATTATGGAGGCTGAGATATGTCATGTCATGCCCTGTGCAAGCTGGAGAATCAGGAAACTGGGTGATATAATTCAATCCACATCTTAAGTATTGAGAACCAGGGGAGCTGATGATAAGCTGAGGCCAAAGACCTGAAAATTGAGGAAAAGTGGGGGGTATGCTGCTGGTTGAGTCCCCAAGTTGGAAGGCCAAAGAACCAACAGCTCTCAGAAGATGCATGTCCCAACTCAAAGAGAGAAAGAATTCATCCTTCTTCCACCATTCTGTTCTATGTGGGTCCTCAAGGGATTAGAAAATTCACACCCAATCCAATTAAATTACTTAGCCTACTGATTTCATGCGAATCTCTTATGGGAACACCCATCAGAAACACCCAGAAATAATGCTTTACCAGCTCTTCTGAGCATGTTGATGCATAAACTTAACCATCACAAATTCACTTCTTGTCAATTTGGCACCCATACACATCACTTTACACCATACTTAATCTCCAAATAAAAACAATAAGGAGGCCATAATTCTAATATAACTATCTTTCCTACAACAGAAAATGCACTAATCCCTTTTTCGGAAAAGGGTAAATTTATTTTGCTTTTATTTTATGAAACTATGTTTGGATACCTCATTTGGACATTCAATTAAAGCAGCCCAAATTAGAGCTAAGTCTGCAGTTTGTTAAAGTGAAGCTGAAGGTATTTTCATGTTTTTGTATTAAAATGGAAGCAACCACATTTCATGAGATTAAACACAAATGAGAATATTCTGAGTGATTTTAGACAAGCTGAATAACAGCAGTTTTCACAGATCCAAAGATCCCCCTGCTTTGGGGTGCCTGGGTGGTTCTGATGGTCTGCCTTCGGCTCAGGTCGTGAGATCTCCAGGTCCTGGGATGGAGCCCCATGTCGGGCTCCCAGCTCAGTGGGGAATCTGCTTCTCCCTCTCCCTCTGCCTCTCCCCCTGCATGTGCTCTCTCTGTTGCTCTCTCTTTCTCTCAAATAATTAAATAAAATCTAAAAAGAAAGAAAGAAAGAAAGAAAGAAAGAAAGAAAGAAAGATAAATAGATAGATTTTCCTGCTTTCTTTCTGTAAGGTTGAAATAATCAGCAGAATTGGTCTCAACACTGGGGAATGCTGGAGAGGAACTAAGTTCTCCATGCTTAAAATTAATCATACTCTGGTTACTGTAGCTTGGGGTGATGACGGTTCACTAGAGTTCTCATGGGGAGCTTAGCAGTGGATAAAATCACATAACAGCTTTCTGATCAATTCCATAGTCCTATATCAACACTGGTCTTGTATACGGTTACATAATAAATGAAGGGTTTTGCTATGGATCTCTCCTATCCACTATCAAAAGTCACAGTTTTTCATATTACCATTATGAGTCTAATTTAGGCAGCTCCCTCTTTAAAATGTAAATATAAGAGAGTAGGAGTAGCAGAAAATCCATTACTAAGCAATATATTAAAATGATTATATCTTATCTAAACCAAAGTTTTTCAAATTATGGCTCACAAACCATCCACCTCAGAATCACCTGGGTTGGGAAGAGGCTTACCAGGTCCATGTCAAAAAAGAAAAAAAAAAAAAATAGAGGTTTCATTTAGTCCTATTCATTTATAATTTCTTAAAGAATTTTTCAGAATCTTAATTTTTAAAAGCTCCCCACATGATTTTTACTATCATTTACATGCGAAATACATTGTCAGTAAAACTCAACCACATAGTAGAATCACCTGGAGTAATAGAAAAAATAAATACAACTAATGTCTAGATCCCACATGCCAAGATGTTGAGTTAATTTTTCCAGCATCAGCTCTGGGCATTGGTATTTTTTAAAGAACTTTCCAGGAGATGCTATTTTGAGGACAGCTAAGAACTACAGCTCTAAAATTTGAAAATTGATGTTCACACCAGTTCCACTAATTCCTACTGCTTACATCTGGTGTCTTTCACTCATCTATATTACTCTCACAGACTTTAAATGTAATTGAGTCCTTAGCCTATGAATACTGAGCACTCTCTGCACGACAAATTGTAGCTTCTTAGAACAAGAAACTCCAAAGACTAAGATCTAGACAGAGGTCAGGTTAGAGCGAGAGCATTCACCTTGGTGCAGATGGAGGCAGATTTTTGAATGGACGCAGACTGGGACCTGCAACAAGGTAGCAGCTGCTTATGAGACTTATTGAAGGGGAAGGAATTATTAGGGACAAAAAAGGACAATAAAAGTAGAAGGAGAGTCAAACAAGCAAACAAACAACAATTTATGATTTTCAGCAGATCTCACTCCTGATAAGAAAAGTAGATCAGAACTTTGCTTTGGGAATCCTCTTGGCAAAACACATAGAACTTTTCAGCTTTGTCTCCAGTGGGACCATCTTGTTTGTTTGTTTGGTAAGCTTGGTGAAGTCCCAGTTCTTTTGCCCTTTTAGATGCGTCCAGCACCTCATTACAAGAACAGTTTGCTCAAGGCACACATATGCTCATGATCAGTACAGAGGCAGGAATAAGGCAACTGAATTCCTCTTAATCTAAGAGCTCAAAGGGGTACTTCTAAGGATAAGACTCAACATTACTTATAAGGGTATAGCTTCTAAAATTCTTTAATTTTCCTTCCCCCACCCCTTTTTTTAAGTGATACACAATTAAGATACAACCCAGTTTTAAGCATACAGTATAATGGTTTGGTATATGTCTATATTGCAAAATGACTTTTTGGTAGTTTTAAGAAAATATATCAAGAAATAAAAACATTCTCCTTAAAATTAACCCTATGATCTCATAAGTTAATTGGACATAAACATTTGAAAACCTCAACTGTAACCTTAATTCAGCCCAAACACTTTATCTTGGGAATCCAGGGTCTCTCATATTTAAGTCCCAAATTATCCTTTTAGGCATATATACCACTACTCCCTGCACTCTCTTCTCTAGTCATTTTATTCTGATGGTTTCTTGTCTCTGCACATTTACTCACACTGTCAGAGACCTATTTGCCTTTAGCAAAATGTTCCTTCCTACAGAAAACCTTCCTGAGTTCTTCATCTGCAAGTATGTTGCAGAGATTTTAATTTTTACTTCTCATTAATTTTATTATGTTCTAAATTGGTATATGTTCAAATATACAAAGATTTGAAGGCAAAATTGTTGAGAAATTCATATTTCTAAATTCTCTTTGGCGGCCAATAAAAAGAAAAAAAGACAGACTCCGTTAACTTATGCATCTGTTCTACCTTATTTTCTTTGCTGTAGCCGGAAGCCTTTGTTGGGCATGTGGTTACCCTCTTGGCTCTCTTACCTCTCTGACAACTCAATTTCATAACACTCCAAAGAGTCTGGTTACATTTCCTAACAGAATACCTACTTCATGGACATCCCAAGAACACTTGTTTTTTCAAATTTTAAAGTATAATGTTTAGCTAGTAGATATCACATATAGAATATTTCATGGTGGCATGAACTAGAATTGTTAAAATTCTTATGCTCTTATTTTCCTGTTGAATGCTATGAAAATCATTTTAAGTTATTCTTACATTTTGAGAATTGCACTCAGTGTTGTTCGAATTTTCTTCCTTTGTTGTCTCAGCTTGAGAGCTCTCAGTCCTTCCAAGAATGGTTTGCTCAGGCTAGAGAAAAGAGAGAGAGAGAAACAGGTTCAACCAAGAGATCAATGTGACTTGTGAAATACGGTACAATGGCAACATCAGACTCAAGGACAGTGAATACAATGGAATTTGTATATATACATTCTCAAAAATTCATAATTTTGAAAGTGCACAAAATAAGTTCTGTTCTGTTTTGTATTAGTGAGATCCAATGGCATTATTTTCCCACTGGAAATACTTCTTGCATAATAAGCCTTTAAGTTTACTATTTCCACAAGGAGCTGGAATCCTGTCTTTTCTCATATTTTAAGTCCAAGTATATCTGAGAAATAAAAGTGTACACTTCATATTCTCAATCAGAAGGAGAAGACTTCATAACAGCTCACTGTAATTTACAGAGAGGATTATTTACTTCAACGCTAACTAACTAATGAAGCCTGGAAACCTTAAATATTATCCTAAGATTCATCTCTTCAGGAACACTAAATCTTTTTTAAACATTTATTTATTCGAGAGATAGAGAGTATGAGTGGGGTGAGGGGTAGAGGGACAGGCAGACTCCCTGCTCAGCAGGGAGTCCTATGCTGGGATTGATCCCAGGACCCTGAGATCATGACCTGAGCTGAAGTCAGGACTGAACTCACTGAGTCACCCAAGTGTCCCTAAAAAAAAATTTTTTAAGGCAGTTTTTCAGGTGCTGGCCAGGAAAGAGTATGCATAACTAATATATGTAAATATCCCCATAGGCTGGCTAAGATTATCTACTGAAATGTGTGTTTCTTGGGCAAAGCTTATTTGAACATGCTGTTAGGCACATCAGTCTGTGAGGTTACTATTGTAGGATAGACAAAAACTAAACTCTGTGAATGCTAATGTGCTTGGATCTGAAACCATGATCTCAGTGGATTATAGAGGAGGAAGAAAAGGGGTTTCTAACCACTGGGGACCCAGGAAGACAAAGACAAAGCTATGGTCTGATCAAAGTACCTAAACTGCTCAGTTATTACTGTTTGTGCTACTTTTACACAACGCTGACCTGGTTTTCCATAGCAGTTATATTCCTTTGCAGGGGAACAGTCTTCCAAAATAATACTTTGATAAAAACAAAAAGCAAAGATATTTCATAAAACTAGTAGAATATTACACGTAAAAGAATCCATAAAACTAGTAGCATATTAGAGAAATAAGAGAAAATCAAGCACTTTAGTTGACTAAAATAGTTCCTATATTAAGTTACTGAAATGCTAGGCTTTACATATAATAATTGATAAACAACTACATAAAATTCTTTTTTGCTTTATACTTAAAGGAGTTCAGCTTCATTGTATGAGTTCCTGAAGGCACTGTTTTTCCCCCTTTCTTAGTCCCTTTTTCTCTCCCATTCTTCCTTGCTAAAGACCCCTGTCTTCTGATCTCCCCTCTATACCTTCTGTAAGAATAAGAAATTTAAACAGGAAAATAAAATGTCTTTGAATAAGCCAGTACTCTGTATTAGATATTGTTGTTGAATATAAAGAGTTGAGAAAGGTGTTGTTTTTGCCTTCCTAGAATTTATACAATCTGATTTTTATTCACACCAGTAGCCCCAAGATAAAGCAGATTAATAAAAGAGGGCACAAACAAAGCTGTATGCATTTGGAGAGAATGGAAGTTAAATCCATTTGGGATAATAATAAAGGGCTTGATGGAAAGAGCAAGCTTTAAAATGGGCCTGTGAGTGATTAAGACAAGAGTGAGTGAGAGCATCCTAGATGAAGGGAAGAGTATAAGCAAAGATAGGTAGAAAGAATATTCAGCTGTTTTTTTTCTGTTGGTTTACAGGGTAGCAATAGAGTCGACATGAGAAAAAAATGCTCAAAAAAAAAAAATGCTACAAAGTAGGAAGGCAATTCCAAAATCGAGCAGCAAAGTATGTGTTTAAATTTAGTAGCCAAATAAGAGTCCGCTGGATATTTTAACGCAGGCATATGACATGGCTAGAGCCTCTGTTAGGGTGATATAGCAGCACTATGAAGGCAAAAATGGAACAGAGGAAAATTAGGGTGTGGATATCAGGAAAGAAACAATAAACATTGATCAAGTAGATGGTAACAAAGGCTGAACTAAAGTATTAATTCTGGCAATCAAAAAGAGATTGCTCTTTGTTGTGAGCAAAGATTAGAACCTATAAAACTGAAAAATTCTATAGAAATAGAGAAACCTAGAGAAAAGGCAGGTTCACAGCAAAGAGGATTATTTGTGTATTGCTAATAGAGAATTTAAAGCCCTCATGACTCTTAAATAGCTAGACACTACTCAATAGCCATGTTAAATATATTAACATGAATCAAAACAGCCTTTTAATCCAGCTAAAATCTACTGGACTTCCTATAACCTACAAATTACAGATAGTTTGAAGAAATAGGTTAAAAAGTGCAGGGGTAATATATAAATGCTAACAGTGAAGGAAAGTCTCTTCCAGCAATCAGAGAAAGAACCCCAACTGCAAAAAGACAGAAGAAATCCCATTAATAGGCATGGAGTAATTTTAGTAGGTTTTGTTTCTGTTAAAACAGCCAAATCACTGAGTAAACAGCCCCAACATACCTCTGAAAATTTATTTAGTGTATAATAGCATTAAAGGAAACTGAAACATAAAAGTCATTCATCATTCTAGCAGTAATTATTTTTACTTCTCAATGTTGTCTTTCAGTCTTTGCCCATATCCTCACGGATATTTACAGAGTCACAGTTACAGTGCTCATGACATACTTACTTCTGTTTTTACACACACATATATGTTTTATCTACCTAGAGATAGACATAAGGCTATAAGCATCCTTTACATGCCTAAATAGTATTTCATAGATGACCTTGCAAAAATGTGTATTTCAGTTAAAGACTTCAGTGGTTCTGAATTTCAGGTTATAATATTGTGAAGACTATCAGTCTTCTTGGTACCAGTCTGCAGGATAGCTCATATCACACTCATCACGGGTTTAAGTATCTGACTCTTTATAAGCTGGGAACCCATGAAGGAAAGATATCATGTCTTATTCATTATCACATCCTTTGAAGCCAGTACATATTTTGTACTCAGTAAGTTTTGTTTTTCCTTTCATCATTTATTTAAGATCTATTTCTTAGGACTAAAGGAAACTAAGAATTAAGGACCAAAACTAAATCAAGAGGAATGGCTATATTTATGGTAAGAGAAATCTTTCCAAAATGTGGCAATCGGAATTCCTTCTAGTAGCATGAGTCAACACTAATTGTGCATCCACTCTGTAAAAGTAGTGTGTTTCGAACTGATATCAAACACTAAAAACATAGTTCTTGATCTCAAAGAGCTATCATTTGCTCCTCATTAATTGTCATTGTATCTTCCACTTTCCTAATAGCTCCTGATTTCATTCTGGAGGGTTGCCTCTTTCATGGTATGGTGTTTCCAAAGTACTGTTTTATGTATCAAATCCCCTGACCCCTCTGATATTGGCACATGACCCAAGTTAGGTCATGATACCTCCATTCTTGGAATACTGATTACATTAAGAGGAGGCCATAAATGGTTAGGTACATTAATTCTGTTAGGGTGCCTTGTCCAAGTTGTTTCTATAATACAACCCTTCCTTATGGTTCATACGTGCAGTCTTCTGAAGCAGCCTTTGTTTCTGCCCATTTCCAGGTGTGTTATTTCTATCCTTTCTTTGGTACTATGAGCTCCTGATGTTATATGAATAAAGTCTCTTCATTTAATCTGGTAAGGGTCAGTGTTGGTTGAATGTAATCAGAGACCTGGATGATACAGGGAGTCAAATCAATAAAATAAAACTGATAGCAAAACATAAGGGCTGAGATAGAGGTTTACCATGGAAACTAATAGAAAGGAAACGGAACCCAGAATAAATAACAAAGGAGTATTATTCAAAGGAATAATAATATTCAAAGGAATAATAACAGTTTCACCAGTGATGGAGATTACATTTTAGGGTAGATATTCAATATGTTCCTAAAAATGTAAATGTGTAGCATATTAATACATTTTAATGTTTGATTTTTTTTCATAAAAGTACTGTACATTTGTAAAAATGCTCCCAGATTTTGGTGGTAAAGTTGAGACAAGGAATATGTCCAAAATAAAAGGTCTTCTCTATCTATCTATCTATCTATCTATCTATCTATGTCTCTGTTTTTGTGGGCTTCTGCTAATTTGGACAGATGATAAAAAGAGTTTTATTAACTATTAAGTGCACAGAAAACAGAGGGAGAAGAATGACAGTGTAACTTTTCTCTTCCATAAGTTTGCCAAGGCTACTCTTGTGCTCACATATTAATAAACTGAGGTGCCTGGTTTGCCAATGTCTCTATCGATACTGAAGTTATCTCCAGTTTGCTTCAGGAAAAAAAAATTACATATATTACTTACAAAAACTGGAGGAGATGATACATTGCTTCACCAGTGTGAGCAATGAAGTATAAAAAGTTAAATCACTTTAAATACAAAAATTTAGTATTTAACTGAGGAACTGCTTACATTTAAATATAATACATGTTATCTTTAGCATTGGCTTTTGGCATCAGTGAGATGCTCCTTGTGGAAAGAAGCCTTGTTGAATATGATGAATTAATACAGAATGGGAACTGACTTTGGAGAAAGATAATGTATTTTTGGAGTTAAAGAAATGAGGACTCAGATTCTGGGTTAACAGTAAATAAATTGGGGACTTGAGAAATTTATATAATTTCAGAGGGTCTGTTTTCTGCAGCTTTGCTAAATTAGGTCAAGGACACCAAACTCGCAGTATGGTTTTGTTCTGTTGGTTGTTGTCATTTTTTTAACTTTATATTTTTAGAGCAATTTTAGGTTCACAACAAAAATGAGGGAGAGATGCAGTGATTTTTCATACAGCCCCAGTCCCACACATGCGTAGCCTCCCCCATTATCAACATCCCACACCCGGTTGATACAAATGTTATCAAGGATGACCCGGCATCAACACATCATAGTCATTTAGTGCCCATAGTTTTCACTCTTGGGTTTG